ATGTTTGTGCCGAGTTTTCACGGTACCTCTTCCTGCAAAGCTCCCTTTTGAGAAAACAATGACTTTTTGACTGGCAGAAGGACTGTCACCCTCCCCCAGGGACAGCCTGATTCCTGCTCTGCCCCCTCCTCGGGTTAAGGTGTCTGGGCTGTGGGAGACCCCAGAGGGGTTGGGGACAGCTGCCCTGATCGTGGGTGGGGACCGTGGCTCCACGACTCCATGAGGAGATCAGATGCGGCGCATGGCGTTCCAGTCAGTAAATGATAATAGTACGATGATAATACTGCCTTAACTGAGAGTCTGTTTAGGTTCTCAGTGCCTGTGTAACCATTTCAACCTTGTAATTGACTAGCTTCCATCATCAAAACGTGGTTGAAAGGAGAAAGTAAAAGGCGTTCACCCCGACTGTGTCCTCTCTCCTAGCCAGACTCCCCAGATTCTGTGCACAGGGGAAAACCCAGGAGACAAGCGTCGGGGCTCCTGGACACGTGGGCCAGCACCCATCTGTGGGGCTCCTGTGCCAAGTGGGGCTGCCCCTGGCGGAAGCATGGCGACGTGTGGGGAGGGCGCCAGCAGGCCACCTGGAAGTGAGTGCTGCCATCAGGGACTCCGAATTCCGGTTCTAGAAGGAAGGTGCTTCCCGAGGCATCCCCAGGTGCCCTCCCCCCTCCCCCTTCGCCCCGGGAGCACTCTCTTCTTGAGGACCAAGGAGCCCCTCTCCTTGTCTGGCCACCTTCCTTCCTGCTTTGAAATGCTGTGATTTCTTTGTCCGCACTCCCTGCTTTCTGCTGCCTTTTGCCTTGTCTCATCTGAAGTGTGTTTTAATCTCGTGGCCTCCACATGTTAAACTTTATTGGCGTTTGTCACTGGCCTGGAGTTCGTGAACATTTACGAAATAGCCTTTCCTCTGGCCCAGGACTCCTGGGCACGGCCAGGGCTGGGGGGGCACCAAGATTCTAAGCCCCCGAGTGCTGACTGTTTTCTCTGGGTCTGGGAAACTGCCCCGTTTTCCTGTAACGTGCCCTCCGCCCTGGAGGCCTGGCGTGGGGAGGGTTGACTTCCCTTAGTGGGGAGGGCGTCAAGGAGAATCCCGGCAGCCTTTCTGGGGGTGGCAGCGCCCAGGCTGTAACTCGTGCCTTGGTTCTAACTCACACGTTGTTGAGATGCATCAGCACAGGGCAGCCAAGCCTTGTTAATTCCCGTATAGATTGCTGGCTCCAGGCCGGTGTGTGTGCCTGGTGTATAATAATGACAGTAATATTATTATAATGCATATGCTACTGGTGATAATAACACCGTCGTCTTTTGGGTGCGTATCTCGTGCCAGGCCCTGTGCGAAGTGCCCGTAATGTGTGGCCTCCTGCGATCTCAGTCGCTGTGAGTGAACCCCTCTGTGTCCCGTTCGTAGACAGGGACGCTGAAACTTGGGGAGAGGGTTCTCTGGGGCCACAGCTGGCACGTGGGGAGGGCTGGATTCCAGCCCTGTTCCTCCAACTCTGGACTCTCCTGCCTCCCTGGCCTCTGAGGACTCAAATAATTTGGTCTGGGATGACTCCAGACAGCTGAATTTCAGATCGCCTCTTTCCTGCGAATATGTTTTATTTTAAAATCACATAAAAATAACTCAATTCTCAACTGGAACAGCCGAGCCCTTAGATGTCTCGGAGGCCCTTCCGGTTGCCTCCTCGCCGGACTCAGATGCCGGGCCGGTGACTGGGCAGGAGGACCGGAGCTCAGCTGCTCTTGGCCTAGGGTCTCCCCCGGGCGGCGGTGGAGGCGGCTCCGAGCACGGAACCGTGGGCGCCACCTCCCACTTTAGTAACCAGCCTTTCTTGCATCTCCTCTGTGCCAGGGGCTGCCTGGCACCAGCCGCGTATTTTGGGAAGTCAGAAAAATAAACAGTGTAAAAAAGCAAAACTTCCCCCAAGAAATCTGAGACAGATGCTGTCTTCCTCATTACCATGTCCATCCCCCCAGGTTTGGGGAGAAGAGCCCAGAATGGCTCCTGGTCATCAGATACCGGGGGCCCAGGGAGGGTGTTAACCTGAATGGACCCTCTTCATTTTCACCTTTGCCTGGAAGCCAGGTCAGGGGGCACGGGTGGGTGTCCAGCTGGCCTGGGGGAGTCGCAGCCGGAAGTGACTCAATCCACAGGAATGTTGGGTCTGTTCCTTCTCCACTCCTCACCCCATGCTGTTTCCATACTGGGGACTCATTGGATTTATGGCACAGCTGTCACTCACTGGTGCCCCTCTCAGCCCGGACAGCAGACCTCGAAGTAGCTCGTTGTCTGCGTGTGGGTGGGGCCAGACGATGGTGATTCTCCTGTGTCGTCTTATGCAGTGCAGCCCCTCAGTAGGTGTGTGGAGGGAGGTCACAGCCGTCGAGGAAGTGAGGCCGGCTGGGCAGGGGGATGCCCAGACCCACTCCTCTGCCCTCCCAGCAGCCTTGGGCAGCCCACCGGAGCCACTCCCGGCCCACCCTCTCTTGTCGTAAGGGGGCTGTCAGTTCTGGGAGGCAGATGCTGGACCCTCCTGCCCCTTTCGGGCCTGAGGCAGTGGCCCAGCCTCTCTGTCCCAAGGGGCTGACCTGGAATCCCTGCCTTCGGGTTGGCCCTCCCAGGAAGGGCGCTTTGCATCGCTTGGCTGAGAGCAGACATTTCACCAGAGCCAAGCAGGCCCCGCGGGAAGGAGGCTCACGTCTGCCGTGTGAAGCCGTGGTCTGGGGTTCTCCAGAGAGACAGAGCCGATAGGAGAGAGGAGGAGAGATTTCTCCTGAGGAACTGGCCCGTGTAATTACGAAGGCTGAGGAATCCCACCACCGTCTGCCATCTGTGAGCGCGACACCCAGGGGAGCCAGCGGCTGAGGTCCCGAGTGAGGACAGGAGAGGACCCGTGTCGGTCCGCAGAGGGAGCCTGCTCCCCCCTCCACCTCTGTCCTCTGAGGCCCACCACACGCCACACCAGGCAGATCTGCTTCCCTCTGTGCACCGATCCAGACGCTAAGCTCAGCCGGAAGCGCCCTCACGGACACACTCAGAAATAGTGTTTAGGGCCAGCCCGGCGGCACAGCGGTTAAGTTCGCATGTTCCGATTCAGTGGCCCGGGGTTCGCCGGTTTGGATCCCGGGTGTGGACATGGCACTGCTTGACAAGCCATGCTGTGGCAGGTGTCCCACATATAAAGTAGAGGAAGATGGGCACGGATGTTAGCTCAGGGCCAGTCTTCCTCAGCGAAAAGGGGAGGATTGGCAGTAGTTAGCTCGGGGCTAATTTTCCTCAAAAAAGAAAAGAAAAGAAAAGAAAAGAAATAGTCTTTAGCCAAACATCTGGGCGCCCCGTGACCCTGTCAGCCTGACACGTACAGTCAACCGTTGAGGTCACCATGTGGCTGGTGTCAGGCTGGGGGTTCTGAGGAGAATTCGACAGCTGTGCGATTTCATCTGTAAAATGGGGGTGGCAGCACCCCTCCTGGGGTCGTTGGCTTGAGTGAGTGGGAGACTGGGCATCAAGCTCGTGGCTGTCCGAGAGCCCTGGCCAGTGGAGGTGGCTGTGGCTGCACAGCGTCCCCCCAGCCTCCCTCAAAGGTCAGCTTGGTCCTCCCCGTCTCCTTGCAGCCTCGCTGGGCGCTCCAGACCCCGGTGCTCACGTCCCCTTGGAACTCATGCCCCGTGCCTCTCTCACAGTGTTGTTTACACGATGGGTGGGTTCAGCTAAAACTGGGGCACATGTTGGGGTCCTCTGAGCTCAGAAAGAGGCCCAGGCTTAGGAGCAGGTCTGTGTCGGTGCCAGGCCCTGAAGGACAGACTGTGCCCGTTTTGTTATCGTTGCTAAATCCAGCAGATGTGGAGAGGGTGTGTGTCCCCAGGAGCCCATGAAGTGAGGTCTGCAGGTTGCCCTGCTTGGGCCTCTGAACCTTTAGAAACCATGCTGGCTGCGTCCACTCCCGGTCAGTCAGTTTAGGCGTGGGTTTGCGGAATGCATGAATGAATGAATGAATGTTACAAGAGTCGCTCAGGGGGCTGTGGGACAGGCGATGGCACCTGCAGCCCCAGGTGTCTGGGTCCGCCTGGCTGCCTTCTCCAGCCTTTCTTGCCGTCTGGGGAAGGCATCTGCTGGCCATCCTGGGCTGTCCCTGCAGCTCTCCTGAGGATGGCCCGGCGGCACGCCCCCAGAGCGCCGTGATCTGGCCGCCTGCTGCTCCCACGGGTACCCCTCCTGGCAGCCTCTCGGGTTTGCTCGGCTTAGCACCTCAGCAAATCTCCTCGAGTTGCGACTTGCCTGCCGTAAGCCTCTCCAAGGGGCTGGCTGGGCCGAGGCGTGTTTTTGCGGAGGGAGTGTGTACAGCACGAGGCTGAGGCCGCGTTAATCCTGGCTCTGTTTTCGTTCCCTCAGGGAGGGGAGGGAAGGGAAGAGCTTGTCCTCCACCCTCCCAAATCCAGCCTGGCTCTGCCCCAGCCCTGGGAGTGAAGAGGGCTGGGGAAGGGACCCGGGTGCCAGGAAACACCCGTTCACAAGACAGGCAGATGGGGGTTAGACCAGGGGACTGGCCGGTGCCTGACGGGGTGCCAGCCCCTCTCTCTGTCCCTGACAGTCACAGTGCTCTGGCACACTTGAGCCAAGCCCAGATTTTAGAGTTGGATGGACTTGGGTTTATTCTGGGCTCAACTCCTAGTAGCTCTGTGGCCTCAGGCAAGTTACTCAACCCCACTGAGATTCAGGTCCCTTATTGGCAAAATGGGGTAGTGAGGCTTAGGTGGGAAAATGTCTGCAGAGGGTTTGGCGCAGTGCTCGTCCAGCAGCCAGCATCCAGATGGCAGCAGCTGTCACTGCAGGTGGCGCTCTGGGTCCAGTGGTACCTGGGAGGATGAGGGCCTCTGGCCCCACAAAGGACTAGTTTCTGGTTCTGGAGCCCCTGGCAGGAGCAGAGGCGAGGATACACCCGGTGTTAACTGTCTTGCAGCAGCCTTGTGTGACCTTTGCCCTCTGCCCCTGTCTTTAGGAGTTACTCGGACCTCTAGCGGCCGTCTCCGGAGGCTTGGTGACCTGACTGGCCCAGGTAAGTGGCTTGTTCAGCCCTGGTTGTTCTTCTGGTCCAGGCCCACGTAGCCATCTCAGGTAAGTGGGGCCTCCTGCCCATTGCCCAGGGAGGTGCTGCCTTTGATGGCTCCCATACTAGTGGCTTTCAGGCCTGTTGACCACAGCCCTGCCAGAGGTGATCTTCGTGTGGGTGGGGGCCACTCACCTCTCTGCAGGTAGGCACCCCGGGCACAGCGAGAGGCCCGTGAGTGCAGGACAGAGGGGAGGGGAAGGGGGGATGGATGCTGGAGGCTGCCCCAGTCGGGGTGCTGAGGCAATGGGCACCCCATGGAAGTGTGGCTTTGACCATGGGCAGCCCTAGGCTGGGTCAGTCCATGGACCACTGTGCCTGCTCCCTATGGCCCTGCAGAGCTGAAGTGCAGAGCCCACCCGGGAACAGAGTGGAGACAGCGTCAGATAGGTGGGCTCCCAGTGGGCGTCTCCAAGCTATGCTTTCTGTTTTTTGTGTGTGCTTGTTGTGGTGGCCTCTTTTTGGAGAGGATGTTTGGCCCAGAGAGGAAGGGACTCACCTCCTCCGGAGCCCACATCCTACCTTCTGGACCAGTCCTCTCCTGTGGAACTTTCTGTGATGGTGGAAGTGTTCCATTTCTCCACTGGCCACTATCACGGCCACTAGCCTACGTGTGACTATTGACTGCCTGAAGTATATACTAAGTTTATTTTGTTCATTCATTCACTAGCATAGAATTATTTAACTAACTTATTTTAAATTAATTTCCACCTAATATGTACATGTGGCTGTGAAATTAGATAGTTGTAGATCGTGCTGGCCCCCCAGGACCCCAGAATTCTGTACCCATATGTTCCTGAGCCTACTTCCGGGGCCAGTGTAAACCTCTTCCCAGGTCTGTCCTCCAGAAGGGACGCCCACTGGTGGGCTGGGCAGCCCAAGGCCCATGGGGTGACGTGAGGTGGCGTGCGGATGTGCAGGCTGCGATGTCCACACGAGTGTCTATGAGGCCCCTTGCGGTGCAGAACAGGCCCGGGTGTGGGAAGGGAAGGGTGACGCCCAGCTGGAGGCCTCCAGGGCGGCTGAATGATTCACATCTGTGGTTAAGAGAGAGCTCCGCCCCACCAGCTATGTTAGGCTGCTGGGCTAACCACTGGGCTGCCCAGCCGCTGCTGTGTTTCTGGGGGACTTTGCTCTGGGCCTCTTGCCTCTGGCGCTGCTCTGCTTCTCTATCTCCCTCCCTTCCATCAGCTGGGCTGGGTCTAGGGGCCTTGCTTTGTGTTGGCCTGGGGAGAGGCCCAGCCTTGGGGGTGAGGTCTTGGGAGGCTGGTACCCTGAGCTGTGTGGACACAGCCTCCTCTGGCCGCTGCTTCCCTGTGCTCAGCCCGGCCAGTTCTGTGCCGTCAGCACTTGGCAGCTGTGGCCACGGCTCTGTTTGGAACCCTAAGGCATAATTTGCCAAAGCCCAAAGCTGCAGACCAGTGATCTGGGTTTCGCGTGGGACCGCCTGCTGACACACAAGATCCTTGCTCTGGGGGCCTCTGGGGGCGCTGGCCCCAGACACCCTCTCCTCGTCTTCCTGGCTCCCGTCTCGAATGCCTGCCTCCCAACGGTTGAGACCTTGGTTCCTTCCTGGGCCCCCAGCCTCCTGGCCCCCCAGTCCCTCTGACCCTTGCAGAATCCCCATTCGGAGCCGCCGTCCGCTGCTCCCCTCCCCCCAGCCTGACCTCTGTCCCACGCTCTGCCTGGCCTCCTGTGTGTGGGACCCTGCACCCCGCTTCCCCCCGAGAGGGGCAGAGGGGGCGTGGTGCGGGGCTGCGTCCTTTGTTTTCGGTTCTTCACAGGGTTGTGTTTGGGACGAGGCCAGGGCTGGCTGTTGGCGGCGTGAGCCATGGTCGCTCAGCACAGACTCCCGCAGTCAACCCTTGATGAGCTCACTCACTTTCTATCCTGTTTTTAAAAGTTAGAACTGTTGGCCGTATAAGAAATGTGATAAGTAAACCCCTGTGCGCCCACCATCCCACTTAAGAAACAAGAAGCCTCTGGGCGACTCTCTCCACACCATCTGTTCCCGGTGAGGCAGCCACTCGTCTGAATTTAGGCCTGGTCACTGCGGGCACGTCTGTGCTGTGTGTCTGCAGACAACAGAACCGCTCGTCCTGTGCACCAGCAGCCTCACGTCGTGTGTCCAGGGGGAGTCGGCTGCTGCTCTTTGCTTTTCCACACAACGAGATGACCGACATCTACCCATGCGGATCCCTGTGGCTTCGTTCATTTATGTTGACCGCACGCGAGGGTTCCTCTGTGGGGAGACAGAGTTGTCTACCCCACGGCCTGTTGTGGGAGATCCAGAGGTTTCCTCTGTTACGAATGCAGCTGGAAACGTTCTCATGTGTCCCGTGCTCGCGTGTGGCTTTCCCTGGGCTGGGTTATGGGGATGCACACCCTCAGCACCCCCAAGTGGCCTTCCGGTTTGTTTCCCACACTCACCCATTTTCTGCGCCTCCAGCAGCCTCCCTGGGCAGCAGCCTCCCAGACCACAGCCTGGCCGACCTTTGCCCTGGTTCCCACAGCGCACACAGCGTGTTCCTGGGATCTGCTTCCTCACCTCCTGTGGCCCAGCCTGGCCAGCCTGCCCCTCTGCCCCCGGCTGGGATCCCTGGAGCCTTCTGCTTCTGCCCAGACATCCGGCGTGTTGCTGGGCCTGCTTTTCCTCCTTCAGATCCCTCTGGGGTGGATGGCCTCATCCCCAGTCCCACCCTCATCCCTTCTTGGGTTGAACAGTGTGCCCCCCGGAAGTCTGGTTCACCCAGAATCTCAGAAAGTGACCTGATTTAGAAATAGGTCTTTTACAGACATGACTAGTTAAGGATCTTGAGATGAGGTTGTACTGGAGTTGGTCTGGGCCCAGAATCCGGTGGCTGGGGTCCTTACAGGAAGAGAGGAGACACAGACACACAGGAGGAGGAGGAGGAGGAGGAGGCAGAGACTGGAGTGATGCAGCCACAAGCCAAGGAATGCCAGGGGCCCCCAGAAGCTGGAGGCGGCGAGGAAGGGTCTTCCTCAGTGCCTCTGGGGGGACCACAGCCCTGCTGACACCTTGATCTTGGACTTCTGCCTCTAGAATCACTTTCGGTGGTTTTAAGCCCCTGAGTTTGTGGTGATTTGTTACTGCAGCCACAGGTCCCACCAGGTTACTGTGGCTGGACAACACTCTGCCCACAGAAGGATCTCCTACAATGCTGCTCGCCTGGGGGCTGCGTCTCTGTCCTTACAGGGGACACCAAAAAGAAGGTACCCAAAGTGATCCCCGGGGCTCTGCCAGGGCTGTGCTCCTGGGGGCTCCCTCCCCTCCCCATCCACATCTTTCTGTCCCTGCTCACACATCCCTTCTCAGGAGGGGGCTGCCCTGCTCCAGGCTGCCTAGGGCCCCACCCGGTGAGTTCCCAGCCTAACACTGCTGACACTCATTGTCCAACGGTCATCAGCCCTGGAGACCATAAATGCTGGCCGGGCAGGGCCTGTCCAGCTTGTCCCCCTCTGCTTCTCCTAACACCGCAGCACGCTGCCCCGCACGGAATAGCTGCTCTGGACGTGGGTTGAATGGCCGGGTGCCCTGTGCCAGGCACGCGGGCACAAGGGAGGGCGGTGCCTGTCTGGCAGGGAGCTGGTCGGGGAAGAGATGCCAGCTGCCTGTGGTCCTTGCACCTGGGCTCGTTCCTTCCTCTCCCGCCCCCTGACCCCTGCTCCGTCTCAGCCTGCCATCCACCCAGGGACTCAAACAAGAAGTCTCTGTGTCATCCTTGACCTCTGCCCCCCCGGCATCCCAGGTCAACAGGTTGCCAAGATCTTGTGAACTCGCCCTCTCCCCGAATGGCCCTTGGTTGGGCTGCCCCATGGTCTTGGCCCCATCCTGGTCAGGCCTCGGAGTCTCTCTGGTCTCCACCCCTTCTCCCCACCGGAGGCTCCTCCCCATCCAGCAGCATTCAGTGTGCCTTTGCCAAGTCCCTCCTGTGCGCCAGGGACCGGGCGACGGGCTTGTCCACGTGATGACAAAACAGACCTGCTCATGGTCCTCTTGCATCACGACCCCTCGGTTCCCTCTGCTTGCAGGATCCGCTCCCCTCTAAACTGAGTCCCGTGTCCTGATGCCTCCCGGTGGGCCCAGACCCCCATCCAGCCTCTCCCTCCTGCTCCAAGGGCTCTGGCCACCCTGTGGGTCCCCGCTCCAGAATCGCCTTGCCCTCTCTCACCTCAGAGGCCGTTCTCTTTCCAGGGTAACGTGAACCTGACCTGTCACAGCCCTAAGCAGGCTGGCCTCGGGGATTTCTGTGTCCCCACGGCCACAGGCCGGATCCTGGCTGGGCGCTCTGTGGCGCATCGCAGGCAGGCGGGAAACACTCCTGAGCTGAGCTTGATAGGGGAAGTTTGGGGGTGTCAGCCAAAAGCAAGTTTAAAATAGCAATGTCAGCCTTCTTTCACCTTGGCTGAAGAGCAGCCTTTCTCTTTGCTTGCCTTCTGGGGAAGACGTTTACGGAGAATGCAACGTCTCCAAGGAGAGGGGGGAGGAGGAGCGGACCCCGTCCAACAGGGCAGCCGGGTGGCGCGTGGGCCTGTTCACATTGAAATCACTTAATTATTTAACACAAATGAAAAACGTGGTTCCTCAGTGCCACTGGCCACGTTGTGAGCGCTCAGCAGCCACACGTGGCTGTCGTGCAGAACAGAGCAGACATAGAACATTTACGTCAGCACAGCACGTTCTGTTGGGCAGCGCCGGTCTGGGTCATCGACCGACACACGGGGTCCTCCCAGCTGTAGTTTGTCCAGCGAGCAGTGGGCGCCCACCGCACAGGCGGAAAGTCGGGCTCCCAGCGGGAAGTGAAAGACACCCTTTCTTCGGGGAGTTTCAGGATTCTGGGGAGAATTTAAACTCTGGGGCCCTGGGGAGACGAGGACGCCGACCCCCACCCCCCGGAGCCGCCTGCACTGCACGGGCTGCTGGGCCA